TCGCGACTTTGAAAGGGCATAGAAAATCGAGGATTCAACCAAATTCAAAAATTTCTTCGCCCAAATGCTTCAAATAAAGTCTAGATTTGTTTTAGCGACAAAAAAATTTTGGGGTTAGGTGCACTTTAAACTCCTAATTTTATGTATCTCCTTTGTACTATGCAGAATCCGTGTAGACGCGGCCCATGTAAGAACAATGGCACTTGTCAAGCTGGCTTCACCAGTGAAGGGTTTCGATGTATCTGTCCTATAGGAACACTTGGAAAGAAATGCGAGAGAGGTAAAACACTAGCAAAGTCTGCAGGGGTGATGTATATGAAACAAAATAATACTTCTATTAATTAAACATGACCGAAATAAGTAACAATACCAACTGCACTCTTATTGATGATAAAAATGAGCCAATCAGCGCGTTAAAAATTAAACAGTTCTTGTAAAAATAATCTTTGATTTACTAAGCATCTCGCCCAAGGAAATACTTAATATTAACATGGCGAGGCCAAGTTGCTGTCCACCACAGTAGACGGCTGCATGTGACATTGTCTCCAAAGACTATGGCTTATTGGTCATAAAATCAAAGAAAATTAAAAAGGATCCTCCGACGATAGCCCACGACAAATAAAAAACATTTCATTTGACTTAATCTTGCCATAAATTGCGCTCTAAGCAAAGCTATTGTGAAATGTCTCAATAACGTCCACAGAATTGTTCAGTATTCAACCACTTGGGTGTTATAAGGACAAGGAAAACTACCGAGCTCTGCCACACTTATACCATACCCTCCGAGGAAACATTCAGTGGACCAAACCTAAACGCGGATTGGATCTGGTAGTGAACGAGTGTGCAGAAAAGGCCTACGAAAAAGGTTACGAATACTTCGGCGTTCAACATTACGGAGAGTGTTACGGTAAGGGGATGAGCTACACTAAACATGGTAAAAGTAATCAAAAGTGCGATCAAGACATTAAACGCTTTTGCTGCGATATGTTTGACAAACGGACTGGTCATGAAGTGGGAGGACAATTAACTAATTTTGTGTATCGCATTGATAAAAGAGTTAAGAAATAGGACACCTTTTTTCAACTAGAGACGAACTATAAGTACATGGACTTATTAGGCGTTTTCGTCTGTCAGTTCGTAGGGCGGTGATCACGAAAGACCATGTTTGACCACATTTCCAAACACCGAAAAGAGAGTTGAAAATACGACGCGTAGTGGAGTTTTTTTGACGAATTTCGTGGTGTTCGATAATGTGGTAAAACACTGTCTTGAGTTTATTTTATCTTCTCAATCAAACTTAAAACTAAGGAGGAAACGGAGAAATAAAATCATAAAAATCAATGCTAATGAGGATCACATATCCTAACAAAGTCACGGTCATGATTACCTTTGTTTAAACTTGATAAATTATTAAAGATGATTTTTGAGTCCGTACTGCGCACTCTCGAGAGTTTGTTTACGTTTTTTTGTTTTGCCTCATGTAAGACATCACAACATGTAAACATTTCGCTACTTGCATGAAGTAAATTCAAAGTTTCATGTCAACCGCCATTATGGATGCGAAGCGTTATGCTTCGTTCTTTCTCATATCACTTGATGAAACAACTTCGCAGCTGTAAAAATCAATGACGCTGTTTGAACGGCCTCAAACAAGGTATGCGGTTCTCAACGAATAACATTGATACTCCCAACCCTCGGAGTGTTTAGATGAGGCTATGTAAACACGGAAAAAGTGCTTTACTGCTTTTATAAAATAATTCTCAAAAGCACGCGCGAATCTGAAACGTCACAACCGTGTTTACATACTCTCATCTAAACTCACCTATCGACCAATGAGAGCGCGCATAGTACCTCAGTTATTTCATAACATCGTCTACCCTACTCGAAATAAGAAATAAAAAAAAAGCATACAAGGCAGCTGGTTTCTTAAATCATACTTCATTGAAGCCCCTATAAAAATTAAATTAGGAAGATTGATGTAGGTTCTTTAGGAACCCACTTTGCCTCAAAGGGTAAAACAAACTAAAACTTAGATTCAATGACATGATTAATCTACAATTTAGTGCAGCGTAACGTCAGGATGAAGTTACGACTGTTTTAACAGTCGTAACTTCATCGTGACATTAAAAATCGTCATTTAAAAATGACTTTATACGATATAGGGCAGGTCAAAATTTGTATGACTGCAATGTTCCACGATAACCTATAACGGCTGAAACATTGCAACTAAATTAATTTGGATCCCTTCTTATAAACAAAAGCTGCCATAAAACGACAGGTTCGAGCGATAAAAGCAATATGTTACTATTAGATGCATTTCTTAATTTGCCGCTTAAAAATTCCTTCTTCTTGAGAATGCCTTCAATATTAGTGTCGAGAAATTTTAAAAATCGCCACACCTCAGGAACAGGCTCTGAACGAGGGCTTAATTGATCGCTGAGAAACGACCAAATTTTAGGTTGTGCCTTGAGAGCCTCGCCATCAAACAACAACAACCAATTCATGCAAGGGTCGCTTTGTAAGTGGTCAGTGTAGTCTTGTCTTTCTTTTGCACGTTTCATCGTGTCTAAAAATGTTTTAACTCCATCTTGCTTAGAGACGACGAGCGTTGATATATTTTACAAAAGCATCTCCTAGTAAAAATTATCGCTCACTGTAGGTTTAGTAAGGAAATTAAAAACGGTTAGAACTAAGATTCTTAAGGAGTTTCTCGCTGCAATACTACTTAAATATATTCCAATTCGACCCAAAAACCAGGTCTAATAACCTGTTTCCATCTCCGCAGTCGTTAATTTTCCTCATTTTCTAATGGTTCTGTCACTTGTTCTCTACTGCTCTACAAAACGAAACCTTTGAGGTGGCTTTTCACGTGTGTTTGGGTGTGTGTGATTTTGGTATGTTTAAGAACTATTTAAAATTATCCTAAAATAAATTACAGTAATCCTCTAGATTAAAACACCATCTCGGGGGCCAGACCTGTGCGACAACTAAAAACATGCCAAGCTCTTAGAGACTAGAGCTAAGCGTGACCATAATTACATGTCTGTGATTTGATGCATTTGGTGACCGCTACGTGGGCAGGCAAGCTAAAATGGGTTTCGTGTCAAAC